CTAGCACTCTTTTTTTTTTTTTTTTTTTTTCATTTTTCTTTTATTATTCATATGTGCATACAAGGCTTGGTTCATTTCTCCCCCCTGCCCCCACCCCCTCCCTTACCACCCACTCCGCCCCCTCCCTCTCCCCCCCACCTCAATACCCAGCAGAAACTATTTTGCCCTTATTTCTAATTTTGTTTTAGAGAGTATAAGCAATAATAGGAAGGAACAAGGTTTTTTGCTGGTTGAGATAAGGATAGCTATACAGGGCATTGACTCACATTGATTTCCTGTGCGTGGGTGTTACCTTCTAGGTTAATTCTTTTTGATCTCCTTTTCTCTAGTTCCTGTCCCCTTTTCCTATTGGCCTCAGTTGCTTTAAGGTATCTGCTTTAGTTTCTCTGCGTTAAGGGCAACAAATGCTAGGTAGTTTTTTAGGTGTCTTACCTATCCTCACCCCTCCCTTGTGTGCTCTCGCTTTTATCATGTGCTCATAGTCCAATCCCCTTGTTGTGTTTGCCCTTGATCTAATGTCCACATATGAGGGAGAACATACGATTTTTGGTCTTTTGGGCCAGGCTAACCTCACTCAGAATGATGTTCTCCAATTCCATCCATTTACCAGCGAATGATAACATTTCGTTCTTCTTCATGGCTGCATAAAATTCCATTGTGTATAGATACCACATTTTCTTAATCCATTCGTCAGTGGTGGGGCATCTTGGCTGTTTCCATAACTTGGCTATTGTGAATAGTGCCGCAATAAACATGGATGTGCAGGTGCCTCTGGAGTAACAGTCTTTTGGGTATATCCCCAAGAGTGGTATTGCTGGATCAAATGGTAGATCGATGTCCAGCTTTTTAAGTAGCCTCCAAATTTTTTTCCAGAGTGGTTGTACTAGTCTACATTCCCACCAACAGTGTAAGAGGGTTCCTTTTTCCCCGCATCCTCGCCAACACCTGTTGTTGGTGGTGTTGCTGATGATGGCTATTCTAACAGGGGTGAGGTGGAATCTTAGCGTGGTTTTAATTTGCATTTCCTTTATTGCTAGAGATGGTGAGCATTTTTTCATGTGTTTTCTGGCCATTTGAATTTCTTCTTTTGAGAAAGTTCTGTTTAGTTCACGTGCCCATTTCTTTATTGGTTCATTAGTTTTGGGAGAATTTAGTTTTTTAAGTTCCCTGTATATTCTGGTTATCAGTCCTTTGTCTGATGTATAGTTGGCAAATATTTTCTCCCACTCTGTGGGTGTTCTCTTCAGTTTAGAGACCATTTCTTTGAATGAGCAGAAGCTTTTTAGTTTTATGAGGTCCCATTTATCTATGCTATCTCTTAGTTGCTGTGCTGCTGGGGTTTCATTGAGAAAGTTCTTACCTATACCTACTAACTCCAGAGTATTTCCTACTCTTTCTTGTATCAACTTAAGAGTTTGGGTCTGATATTAAGATCCTTGATCCATTTTGAGTTAATTTGGTATAGGGTGATATACATGGATCTAGTTTCAGTTTTTTGCAGACTGCTAACCAGTTTTCCCAGCAGTTTTTGTTGAAGAGGCTGCTATTTCTCCATCGTATATTTTTAGCTCCTTTGTCAAAGATAAGTTGCTTATAGTTGTGTGGCTTCATATCTGGGTCCTCTATTCTGTTCCACTGGTCTTCATGTCTGTTTTTGTGCCAGTACCATGCTGTTTTTATTGTTACTGCTTTGTAATATAGTTTGAAGTCAGGTATTGTGATACCTCCTGCATTGTTCTTTTGACTGAGTATTGCCTTGGCTATTCGTGGCCTCTTGTGTTTCCATATAAATTTAACAGTAGATTTTTCAATCTCTTTAATGAATGTCATTGGAATTTTGATGGGAATTGGATTAAACATGTAGATTACTTTTGGGAGTATCGACATTTTTACTATGTTGATTCTACCAATTCATGAGCATGGGAGATCTCTCCACTTTCTATAGTCTTTCTCAATCTCTTTCTTCAGAAGTGTGTAGTTTTCCTTGTAGAGGTCTTTCACATCTTTTGTTAGGTTTACACCTAGGTATTTGATTTTTTTGAGGCTATTGTAAATGGAATAGTTTTCATACATTCTTTTTCCGTTTGCTCATTGTTAGTGTATAGAAATGCTAATGATTTTTCTATGTTGATTTTATATCCTGCTACCTTGCTATAGCTATTGATGATGTCTAGAAGCTTCTGAGTAGAGTTTTTTGGGTCTTTACGGTATAGGATCATGTCGTCTGCAAATAGGGATATTTTGACAGTTTCTTTACCTATTTGTATTCCTTTTATTCCTTCTTGCCTAATTGCTCTGGCTAGGAATTCCAGTACTATGTTGAATAGGAGTGGAGATAGTGGGCATCCTTGTCTGGTTCCTGATTTTAGAGGGAATGGTTTCAGTTTTTCTCTGTTAAGTATAATGCTGGCTGTAGGTTTGTCATATATAGCTTTTATAATGTTGAGGAACTTTCCTTCTATTCCTAGTTTTCTTAGAGCTTTTATCATGAAATGGTGTTGGATCTTATCAAAGGCTTTTTCTGCATTTATTGAGATGATCAAGTGGTTTTTGTCTTTGCTTCAGCAACTAGCACTCTTTACATGAGCAGTTATTTTAAGTGTCTTAAATCTTAAGACACTTAAGAGAGTTTCCCCCAAAAGAACATTTTAGGTTTTCCACATGAAATCTTTTAAGAAAAGTTGCCTCTAATTTTACTTTTCTCTTTTGGGGAGGGAGTAGGCTAGCTTTTTCTTTAAGGAGCATCTTTTCTTTTTCTATTTCTTTCTCTTTTTCATTCTTTTTCTTTATAGGAATCCTTAATAATACAAGGGAGTTTTACTGTGAAAATTTCATAGACACACAGTATACTCTGAACAGGTTCACTTCTTCCATTATGTTCCCTTAGTCCCACTCTCCCCTCCCCCTTAAGCAGTATTTGATGGTTTTCATTATGCTAGCTTCATATATCTAGATGTAATAGACTTGGAACCTCTTCACTCCTGGTACCCTTTGTTTATTTCCCTCCTCCCCCACTGATTCCACTCTCCCTGTAGTCCTTTTACATTCATGTCCCATTTTCATTATTGTCATTACCATTTTAGACCTAGATTCCACATATAAGCAAAAAACATGTGATAGCTGGCTCTTTGAGCTTGGCTTATTTCCCTCAGAATGATGGTCTCCAGTTTCATTCATTTTTCTGAAACAACATAATTCCATTCTTCTTTTTGGCTGGATAATACTCCATTGTGTGTATATATCACATTTTCTTTATCCACTCATCAGTTGTTGGGCACTTAGGTTGATCCCACAGCTTAGCTATTGTATATTGTACTGTAGTGAGCATGGGTGTGCAGGTATCTTTCTTGTATATTGATGTACATGCATCCTTTGGACATATGCCTAAGAGTGGTATAGCACAGTTATAAGGCAGGTCTATTTTTAGCTTTCTGATGAACTTTCAAGCTGATTTTCATAGAGATTGTACTAATTTATGTTCTCATCAACAGTGTACGAGGGTTCCTTTTCCCAGCACCCTCACCAGCATTTATTGTTGTTTGTTTTCTTGATGGTGGCCATTCTGACTGGGGTGAGATGGGCTCTCACTGTAGTTTTGATTTGCATTTCCTTTATAGCTAAGTATGTTGAACATTTCTTCATGTTTATTAAGCCATTTGTACTGCTTTTGAAAACTGTTTAATTCATGTGCCCATTTATTAACAATTAAAATCAGACAGCGACAAAAACAAACATAAAAAAAATCAGAATTTTCAGTTGCATTATTGAACAGTGATCTATATATTCCTCCCCCACCCCCATCCCAGTCCAAATCTTTCAGACCACTCTCTTGAGACTTGACTTTGCAATAGTATCTTTTTGTACTCCTTTTCCAGTATAGGGGCAGAGGCTTTGGAAATCTGAATGCGATCTGCAGTGAAGGCTTTTGAAGTCTGGGTCTTCAAAACCCACCTCCCGCCCAGTCTCACACATTTCTCCCAAAGTCCCAGTGAACTCTAGTGGCAGTCCCGTGTGGAAAGCTGCTGAGCTGTGATCCCCTGAATCTGCTTTGCCTGCAGTTACTGGTGTACTCAAGGGCCGTTGATGGACCAAAACTCTTTGCCAGCTAGCACTCACTTTCTTAGCAGTTCTGCCGGGACTTAGGTGAGAGAAATGTGGTTTAATAGGGTACATCTGTGTGGAAGACGGCAGGTGATGTCACTCTGTCACCATCTTGCCATCTTCTCAGTTCTCAGTATGTACCTCAGGCTGACCCCAAACTCACCTCTTCTGCCTCAGCCTCCCTAGAGCGAGGATTACAGGCATGTGCCACTACTTGGGGGAGAGCATTCATTTCTTGATAGTTCTGCTGCTCTTAAATGCTTGTACTTTTAAATCTTTGAAGCTTTTTAGCTTGTCTTTTTTCTTTTTTTTTTTAATTGGCTTTAGAAACCCTCTATTGCCAATTTGTATATTTTAAATACTACATTATAGTTGCCATTTTATGCATTTTGTTCTAAACTGAATTTAGTACTTATAAATATATATATCAGACTTTTAACTCTGCCATTCATGATAATCTGAATTAATTATCACTCTTTTTTCTTCTTTTTTTGTGGTTGTTGTTGCCTAACTGTTTTTTAACTCTTTCATTGATATGAACTACTGAAATTGAGCCTGAGAGATTTCACAAAGCCAAAATTGTGTTCTCATTATAGTATATTCCTTTCCTCTTTGGACATTTTTCCTCTTATGTTTTCTCTTTGTAGCCTCTCATTCTATTTTGCTTTTATTCTCCAAATAGTGATAGTTTGTTTACCTCTCAAAATATCAGAAGCTTTACATTTGAGAATTAGAATAGTTCAATTTCTCGTTGTTTCTAAGGACATGATTTTCTATAGAAAGGAATATCTTCATTTGATTTCAAGTTTCAAGTATATTTTTTCTAAAGAACATACTGAAAAACAAACACTGAAAATACCAAACTATGAATATAAAAATAATACGAACTTTACTTTCAGTGCGATGCGTGTTTTGCTGTCAAAATTACCAAGGCCATGGATTGTGGATGAGAAGAAAGATGATGGTTATACTGCTTTGCATCTGGCTGCTCTGAATAATCATGTAGAAGTTGCCGAACTATTGGTACATCAGGTAGGGAAAGTGGTTCAATAATTTTTTAAGAATTTTGGAACATTCTCATTCATTAATTTATTAATTCTTCAAATACTTACTTACTAAATTCAGCTATAATTCACATTCTGTTTTCTAATAATTGTCTTTGTTTATTTTCTTGTTTTGAGATAGGGGTTTGCTATGTACCCCAGGCTGATCTTGAACCAATCAATCCTTCTGCCCCTCTGCCTCCTGAGTGGTGAGATTATAGGCATATACCAATATACCCTGCTAACATTGGTTCTTAGATATAAGGTGTGTGCGTCTATGTGTGTGTAAATCACTCAGTTCACAGCGTTCTTTTTGCACAGCCTTCCTGGATTGGTCTGATGAAGTGGACATCAAGTAACAGAGATTTCCCAGAATTGCTGCTACTGTTACGGAAGTATCAGTCAACCATAGCCCCAAGAAATGTCCAATTGATATTTAAGTTAGTGTGGCCAGTTGTCATCAGACTTAAAACTGTGGCCAAGATTGGGGGATTGGGTTGCTAACTGTCGATGGACCGATGGAATTTTTGGCTGGACAACAATACCTTAGTCATTTCATTAATCTCTAAATAAGCTAATTCTTTGTTTTGTGAGATTAGATTGTGGGGTGGGAGTAACCTGTTTACTGCAGTTTTATAATGTTTTAGCATATACAACAATTTTTAAATGCTTCAGAAAAGCATATTCCCTGTAGATACACTGAAGTTACCAAAGAATTAGTTATAGTTCCTGTTTTCAAGGAACTGTCTAGTTAAGATGAAACAATTAGTAAATAGAACATTACAGTAATTAAGTATCAGATTATAAGATGTATACCCCAAAACTCCAGTAATTTAAAGTAGTTCAAATGTTAAATTCCTTCTCTCACCACCCCCCCCCATTTTAAGTCCTTATTGTTAAATTTAGTGCTGTTAGTGATGGTAACCCTTTTTCATTTACATCTAAATGACTGTCCAATACCACACTGCACTGCCTTGGGTATTACTGCTTTGTACTAAGTTGTTTTTGTTTTTGTTTTTTTCATTTTTATTAGGATATATTCATTGTACGGGGGGAATTCATTGTTCCAATTCCAAATAGCCTTACATTGTACATTGGTTAGATTTCTCCCACCATCCCCCCACTTGGCCCCCTCTTCACCCCACTTAAAACAGTTGCATGAGGTTTCATCATTCTATTTCATATATTATCTCCTCCATTCACCCCCCTCACAATTACCCGCCTACACTGTACCTATTTTACAGTCCTGTCGTTCACTGAAATCAGGTAGAATAAATCCTCCAACTTTTTTCTTCTTTTGCAGATTTCTTTTATAAGTCTAGATCTTTTTCATACCAATTTTAGAATCAATTTATTTCTGTTGAAAGGCTGTTGGGAGTTTGCTCTTGCAGGTATTACTTTTTGGATGCTATTGTAAATTGTGTCATTTTTACATTTGTTTCCAATTGTATATTGCTAGTATATACAAATACAATTTTATTTTACATTTTGCCCAAGTTTCTGTGACTTTGCTTAAACTTACTCATAAGTTCTAGTAGATTATTTATAGATTTCTTAGTATTTTCTGTATAGATAATCATACAGATCAAAAGAATAGAGAATGAAGTAGAAGAACCACAAGTGTATAGTCAATTAGTTTTGATGGAGTGTCAAAGTAATTCAGTAAGGGAAAGTAATGTTAGAACAAGTAGATGTCCATATATATATGAAAAAATACAACCTCCAAACATAAATCTTTGACCTTTACTTCATATCTTATAGAAAAATTAAATGAGTCACAGACCTGCCCAGAAAAGCTCAAGCCATAAAACTTTAGAGGAAAACTAAGAATATATTTTCATATGATGTGGAGGCACATAGGTTTTTTTTTTGTTTGTTTTTAAAGGAGGCAGAAAGCCATAATCATAAAGGAAAAAATTGATAAATTGGACTTCATCAAAAATTAAAGACCAACAAATCAGGCACTAGTAGCACACTTATGTGATCCCAGCTATTTGGGAGGCTGAGGTAGGAGGATTAAAAGTTCAAGACCAGTGTGAGCTACATAGTGAGACTCCCTGCCCGCCCCCCCAAACAATACCAGGTATTGATTAGAATATGGAACAATTAGAATTCACATACATTGTTGGTGGGTTTTTTTTTTTTGATGGTAATGGGTTTTGAACTTAGGGCTTTCACACTTGCAAAGCAGAGGCCCTACCACTTGAGCCATACCTCCAGTCCATTTTGCTCTGGTTGTTTTGAGATAGGGGTTTGCTTTTTGCCCAGGCTGGCCTTGAATGGAGATTTTTCTGATGCCAGCCTTCTAAGAAGCTCTGATTAGCATGAACAAGCCACCTATGCTTGGCTTTTGTATTCTCTATTAGTGTTCTGTAGCTACATAACAAATTATTACAAACTTAAAAAGAACACATTCATTATCTAACAGTTTATGTGGATTAGAAGTCCAGGCACAGCTTACCTGGGTCCTTTGCTCAGGATGTCATGAGGCTGAAGTAGATTGTTGTCAAGTTTGTTTTCATCTGGAGACTTGGCTGGGAAAGAATCTGCTTCCAAGTTCATCGATATTGTTGGCAGAATTCATCTCCTTGTAGTTATAAACCCAGGCATGTTTTTAAAGCAACTACTTTGAAAAACAATTGGGTGGTTTCTCACAAAGGTGGGCATGTGCTCACTGTGTGACCCCCTAGTCATACTATTAGGTATGTACTGAGAAGACATATTGCCACATAGATACTTGTACTAAATGTTTGTGGCAGCTTTATTTAGAATAGCTCCTTGCTGGAGCAAAATCTGTGTGATAGAGAAAATTCACTACTGTTTATATTTATATGAGAACAGACATGAAGTAAACTGAGATCAAGTGTCTTGTAACCACAAAGAAACATAAATACTATAACAAAAACAAATCAGAAGCCCCATCTTCCAGAATATAGCATACCATTACTGGAGTTTCAGCTCTACCTGACAGCCCAAACAAACAAACAAAGAACAGGTGACAGATGGAGTTGTAATCAGAGGACATGAAGGTTTTAAGACCTAAACAAGAGTGTATCTTTTGAATCTTTAGCTTTTTTCTTAATTTCATTAAAAAAATTGTGCTAGATATTGTGCTGGGCCATTTTCATGTTATTTTTCTTAAGTCTTACATAAATCTCTGGAATAAGTTGTACTGTCACCATTTTGGAACTGAGTAGATGGGCATGAAATGGCGTAATGCTTGCTAAAAGTCACATAGCTTATAATGGGAGAGTTGAAGCAAGGTCCTCTGAGTCCAAGGTCAGTTCTTGTGCGCCTCAGTCCCTTGTCCCTGTACTTAGGTGTCAGCTGTTCTTGTGTAGTCCGTGGCTCTTTTAGGACTCTACATGTGACTTTCTGCTCTTCATTTAATAGCTATTTTCTTTTCTTTCCTTAATGTTTCCACATTTTTTAGCAGTACTTGGATTTGAACTCAGGGCCTCACACTTGGTAGGCAGGTACTCTACCATTGAGCCAAACCTCCAGCCCAATAACTATTTTCATGTACTAAGTAAACATCACCTTCTTTTTACCTCAAGCAAAGTTTTCTTTCCATTGAATGAGGAAGAGTTCAATTATATAAGGAGAGAAAGTGACCTTACCAGGTTGTGAAAGTAAATCTAAATCTAGTATGAAGACTCAGTAGCTTTTCAGAGACACTTACAATTCAAAAGAATTGATTCTCTCAGTGGAGATTGAGAGTTGTGTTGGAGCTCTGCACTGTGCTTTGTCCTTGCACTACTCCTAGATGGACTTACTGAAATAGAAGCAAGTTTTTTAAACTTGGTGCTTTGCTTTAGAAAGTTTGCTTCCTCATCCATTTTTCTCTGCATCAACAACACTTGTTACTGTGTTACCATGTAAGAATAACGTCATAGCATCTTCAGAGGAGGAGAAAGTTCTCAGTAGTATCCAGTGTTACTCCTCATGAATAGTTTTCATGTTCTTTGTTGTCAAAATTTAACCATTTAAAATTTGTTCTTGTTCAGGGTAATGCAAACCTGGATATCCAGAATGTGAACCAACAAACTGCACTACACCTTGCTGTTGAACGACAGCACACCCAAATTGTTAGGGTAAAGTATTTATTAACATAAATTTTAGCTTGCAGTAATTTCTATTTTTTTGTCTCTCTGTCTTGGTTTTTTTATTGGTGTTTCTGGGGTTTGAACTCTGGACCTTGAGCTTGAGCTTACTAGACAAGCACTCTTGAGCCCAAGCCCCCCTTATAGTATTTTCTTTTTTTAAAATTTTTTATTACTCATTTATTCACTTGTGTGTACATAGTATTTTCTTAACCAGGCTGAGTTTAAGACTTTTTTGAAATTGAAATAAAAGTGTTAGAGTTCTCAAAAAAAAATAGTTCAATGCAAAACTTATTTTTTATATTGTATATTGGTATATTTTAGGCTAATATTTTGTATCAGTTGGGTAAAGAGTTTTAATTTTTTTTTTTCTTTTTTGCAATACTAGGGTTTGAACTCAGGGCTTCATGCTTTGCATACAGACGATGTACCACTTGAGCCACATCACCAGTCCAAGTGTTTTAGTTTCTGATAGCAAAAATCTTGAAATTTTGTGTTTAAGTCTTTATCTTGTTGTTCCTAGATTTGTGAATTCCCATATTAAATGAGGAAAAATTTAAAGTAATGTTTAGTTTTAAAAAGTACATCCCCTCCCAGTGTGTATAATTGAGAGTAAACTATAAATTAAAAACTTGGCTGGACATTCATTGCAGATTCCAAAAGGATCAAAGTATGTATTTGTATTTTACTAATCTGATGATTTTTAAACAAAATAGCTAAAAGAGAGTTGTTTTAATTATTTTTGGAGAGCATTCAATTTTTAAATTGAGGCTGAAGCAGCAGCAGCAGTATCACTCAGAAACTTGGTAGAAAAGTTAATTCTGTACCCTGCTTCAAACCTAAATCAGAAAATCCCTGGTTTACGAGTCACCCAGGTAATTCTGAAACTTGTTCAAATTTGAGAAATACTGTCCTAAGTAACATTTTATAAACATTTTTGGAGCAAAGAAGTAAAAGAAACCCTAATTTGCCAAAGCAAGTAAGACCATATGCTTGTGATTGATTTTATAGATGATATTTTTTTCAGAGCTCCTTGATGGTATTTGCAGAAAAGATAAGGAAATCTGTTAAAGCACCATCAACAAAATCTTAAACTTAACATTTACTGCTTAAGTCATCTATTGAAATATGTCATTTATATATTTTATATAAGAGATTGTAGTTCAGCAGACATTTTTTACATTTATTGTTATTTGATATCCCCTAGCTAAAAATTCTTCATTTACTTTCTTCTAACCATATATTTGGAGAAAATTGGCTAAAGAGAATGAAATTAATAATAACTTTTGCTTATTTGTTTAAATAGTAGGAGAATTTTGAACACTATTATGTGGTCATGGTAAAAAAGTTTTAACTCTCAATTCAGTGTCTATAATTAAAAGGAGAAAAAGACGTCTTATAGTAGATGAATTAAACAACATATTTATTCTCATTTCTTTCTGTTTTCTTGTAATTCAGTATATTTAAGTAACCAGGAACACATCACTTTTTGTAAGGAGCCATCATTCTTTGTAAGGAAGCCACAGGGGTATAGAAGAGTAGGAAGCAAAGATATCAAAATCATTAGCTTTAGTGGCAACTCCTTGTAGTAGGTATAGGATGCTACTTTAGATATGTTATCATTTTTTATGGGTGTGGATACTTTACCAAAGTAAAGCATCTCTTCCTCTTTTAGCTTTTGGTCCGTGCAGGTGCAAAGCTAGACATTCAGGATAAGGATGGAGATACTCCTTTGCATGAAGCTCTAAGGCATCACACTTTGTCTCAGCTACGTCAGCTTCAAGATATGCAAGATGTGGGGAAAGTAGATGCTGCCTGGGAACCATCGAAAAACACAGTGAGTCAAACTCCTTTGAAAAATGAATATGAACTTAAAAATGAAGGATAGGATTGTAAAACAGGTCCTGTGGGAGGTGATAAATGAAGGGGATCAAGGAGGGTGAATATGTTCAGTGTATTTTAAATACTTATATGAAATAGAATCATATAAGTTGCAGTCATTTTAAGTAGCAGATATTTCTCCACATTCTTAGCAAAGTTGTGCAGTTCTTTTTAGCCTCAGCCATTCAAATAGGTGTGCAGTGTGTCTTTTGATTTGAATTTGGATTTCCCTGTTGACTACTGGTAATGAGCATCTCTCATTTGCTTGTCATCACATATATTTGATGAAATATCTGCTCAATTCTTTTTTCATTATTTTTTTGAGCTCTTTGTTTTCTTTTGGTTTTATTTTTTTGAGGTGCTAGAGGTTTGACTCAGGGCCTCATACTTGCTAGGCAAGTGCTATACTACTGAGCTCTGTTCTCTTACTGTTTTTTCAAATTTTTAAATATAATCTGAATATAAATTCATATCACATGTGGTTTGCACATTTTCTCCTTGTCTGTGGCTTGTCTTTCCCTTCTAATTCTTTTTTGAACCATTTTTTGGGTCATTATAATTGACAAAGTGCTGTCTTTTTTGTATAGAAGTGATAGCTTAGTCAACAATGTTCTGGCACACTTTTCAAGAATTAGTACATGTTCTGTAGTTTTCAGGCACTAGAGACATCTTCTCCAAGCACAGTTCTAAGAGGTGTAGGTAAGGCACAGCTGCAAATGCATCAGCTGGATATATGACTAATTCTGATGGATACAGTTATTCTCTTCTTCAGTAGGGGGTGCTCCAAAGTAAATGCTCATCCTTATCACCTTCTCCACAAACACAGACCCCATTCTTAGAAAGCTCTAAGAGACAGTGCTTCAGTTCATCCAGGGTTTCCCAATATACTGGATCTAAATAGTTTTGGAAGTTGAAGTCAAGTGGCTGTATGTGGTGATGTCTTTCTTGTAGGCAGAATCCTGGAATGGTTCAGGGCATGGCAAGAGTGAGAAGTGCTCATGTGTGCATCATCTTTTCCTTCCCTCACTCCTCCCTTCTTACCTCCCTCCCTCCCCTCCTTCCTTCTTTTTGAACTCAGTGCCTCACACTTGCTAGACAGATGTTCAACCACTGTACGCACCCGCCAGCCCTTTTTGTGTTGATTATTTTTGAGATAGGGTCTTGATTTATGTCCCTGCTGGCCTTGACTGTATCCTCCTATTTGTCCTCCCCATGTAGCTGGAATGACAGGCACATGCCTCTGAACCCAACCATTGGTTGAGAATGGGGTTTTCACTAATTTTTTGACCAAGACTGGCCTCAAACCTCTTTCTTCCCAATCTCTGCCTCCCAAGTAGCTAGGATTATAGGGTTGAGCCACCACACCCAGCCTTTATCCTTTCATTTTAACTATGTTTTTCGTTTTTTTTGAGATGAGGTATTGCTATGTTGCCCAGGTTGGCCTCAAAGTCTCGATTTTCATTCTTCATTCTCTTCAGTAGCTAAGATTACAGGCATGTGTCACTATCCAAGCATTTTAACAGTGTTTGGGAAGAGCAGAATTTCTTAATTTTGATGAAGTATAATTTTAACCAAACTATTTTTTATTATTTCTGCTTTTCATGTCCCATCTGAGAAATCTTTCCCAAACCCAGGATCTGTAGGGTTTTCTCTTATTTTGTACTAAAAATTTATCAAGTTTTAGCTGTTGCATTTAGGTATGTGGTTTTCAGTTAATTTTATGTGCACTATGACATATGGATCAAAGTTCATTTTCTCACTTGTGGATGTTCAGTTGTTCCTGCACCATTTGTTGAAAAGACTTAAACCTTTTTCCACTGAATTGCCTGTATGCCTTTATCCAATTAACCATATAGATGAAGGTCTCTTTCTGGATCTTGTATTTTGTGTTTTTGGTTTGTTTTTAGCATCATGATGCCACATCAACTTTCTTGTGTCCATCCCTAAACTGATCACTTAGGTGAGGTAGACATCTGATTGTGCTGAGCCACTTCTCATCCTCTGGAGAATGAGTCAGGTCTCAAACCAAATGCTTGAGAAAATTGAAGAAAGGGAAGAAGAGGAGTAGGTATTAGGACTGAAATTCATAATTATTCACACACACACACACACACACAGGGTAAAAATTGATTGCAGATTGTTAAAGGGAAAATCATGGCTGTTTTCATTTGGTTTCAGTTAATAATGGGACTTGGTACCCAGGGGGCAGAGAAGAAGAGTGCAGCATCTATTGCCTGTTTCTTGGCAGCTAATGGTGCTGACCTTAGCATTCGAAATAAGAAGGGGCAATCACCACTTGATCTCTGTCCTGATCCAAGTCTCTGCAAAGCACTGGCAAAGTGTCATAAGGAAAAAGTCAGGTTTGTAGTTTTTACTGTCTTAATATTCTGTCTTTGTCTTTGCAGTTCCTGTATCTTTGTGTTTCCTCTTTCTTCCCTGAAAAATTTCCTCCAGTCAGAATGTCTGTTATTTTGTGTTATGAGTCCCACATTATTAAGTACACTGCTTTAAGTCTGGTTGTCCAAAAATCCTACATGTGATAGGAATTTCTAAGAAAAGTTTACTAGTAAAATTGCTGTGACTGATAATATAGGTATTTGACTTTTTAGTTCTATATCTCACACTGAAAGCCTGGAGGAGCTCAATAAGTATCAGTGAAGTATTGAAAGAATGAACAAATGAGGAAACTAATTCTGTTGTGGAGTATTCCCTAACCATGAGGGTTTCACATTTGTCTTTTTTTTTGTCAGTGATTTTTATCATTTATGACATAGTTTTCTTAATATAAGATATTGTAGACATACAAAACAGTATAAATCTCCACCTTTTTATCTGAACAGTGCTGTCCTACTGTTACTGTCATTTACAGTCGTTTCTTATCACTGAATATCTCAGTAGCTGTTCCTTGACCTTTGTATTCTTTCATTTCTCTCATAACTTCTGCAGTAATGAAATGACACCACTTTGGAGTTCATGCATGAGCTGTATTATAGGTGACATTAATATAAATGATGTATGTACATTTTTAAGTATATCCCTAAGGAGCATAATATCATTACAGAAAGACAGAATGCATCTGTAAGTAGATATAAGGCACTATAATTATTGCAGTAGTAACAGTGGAATGTAAGATGGAACATTTATGTGTGTTCATGAGTTTCTGAAGCTTGTAGTAGAAACAGTATCTGTTTTCTATAGCTGTAATTAGTCACATAAATGTATGTATTTTATACCTTGTATCTCTATAGTTATAGATATATTCGGTATTTCTGCAATAGAATTTTATACTTCTTAAGGATACACTTATTGAAATGTTAGAACAGCAGGTGAAGTGTCATATTTTTCCGAAGTGTCCTCTTTGTGGTCTCTGAAGATGCTTAGTTTTGTCTTTAAGTTAGTATAACGAACATCGTTGCTCCTTAGGATTTGTGTTTTATTCCTGTGCTGCCTTTGCTTATTCTCTGAAGATAGAACTGTTTGAGTTAAATTTCATTTATTAAATTATTTTTACCTTTAATTTTGATTTCTTTTTTAAAACATTCACCCTTTTCTATCAGTGAGAATTCATTCAGTAAAGATGCAGAGGTATATATAAATAGGAAAATACAGTTTACAGGGTTTCATATAAAGCTGTTAACAAATTTTTAAAATAAAACCATAGTTGTTTTATGTATATTAATGACACTGTGAATTTTTTAAAAACATTTTAATTAATGAATTTGTTGTGGAAATATTTGAATGGGTTTGGTTTGAAATACTTTCTTTTATTAGTGGTCAGGTGGGTTCTCGGAGTCCGTCTATGATAAATAATGATTCTGAAACCTTAGAAGAGTGTATGGTGTGCTCAGACATGAAAAGAGACACTCTTTTCGGTCCGTGTGGACACATTGCAACCTGTTCTTTATGCTCTCCACGCGTCAAGAAATGCCTCATCTGTAAAGAACAAGTTCAGTCCAGAACAAAGGTAATGCATTTGTAATGTAGTGTTGTATCATTTTATAAAGTTCTTTGAGACTGTAATTAATAACAAATCAGAATTTTGTTCCAAATAATTTTTAAATGGGTATATGTTTTATGCATTTATTTATCAATTCAGAATTCCTGAATTTATTGTTTAATCTTACAAATTTATTTTGTGAAGCTCATTATTATCTGGATTTAACTATATTCTATTTTAACCCAAAAGTTTTTTAGCTTTTGTATGTTTCCTTCTTTATAGTAGTTAGGAATAAATTATCTACTGTTTTTCTTTCAAAACCTTTTAAAAATATAGTTAATTCTACTTTATTGTATACTATTAAATTTTCAAACCTACAGAAAGGTACAGAAACTAACGTGCCCATCCAATACATATGCTGAGTTGATTGCAGAGCCTTTGATTATAAAGAAATAGTGACCCCAAGTGGTTAAAGAATAATGAACATCTTCATTGATGAAAAGCAAGTTATAAAACTAGTATTTGGACAACAATAAATAAGAATTTTTTTCTTAGAAGAATCATGTGAATTCTTCGACAATTAGAGAAATACAAATAAATTAAAAATTAAACTGTTTCTGTTGAATTACCAAACACTTAAGTTTTGAAAAAGTGCTAACAAGGAAAGTAAGAAATAGTCACTTTTCTAAACACTGCTGGAGCTGGGAGGCCATCCTGATATCTAAACCTTTATCATAACCACACACTGTGATTTAGAAATTCCACTCCTGGGAGTATAACCTGTGGACATAATCCAGATGGAGAAAAGTTACAGTTAACAAATTATTTTTAACTAGGAGCATAATAAATAAGTTGTTATTAGATCCATTTGCTGTATCACTCTAAACTGTTTAAAAACAATGTTACGTAATTTGTTAGTGTGGAGGTAGATTTTGAATTCAGGAATATTAGAGTAACCATGTTTTATTGCATTATATTACTGCAACTATATAAATCATACATCAATATGTGTACTGATGTATAAGTTGTGAAATTGGAAAGAGTGGGAGGGAGAGAGAGACAAAGAGTGAGCAAGTATGCGGTGTTTGTTCAGGTGGTTTTATAGGTGAAAGATGGTCATCAGTATAATTTTCAATGGCATAAGAGGTGACTAAATATCATAGCGTGTTAGGGAGAACCAGGTGGGAGATAAATGTGAAGCAAGGGTAATGTGGTACAGGTAGAAAGAAGTCATAGTTAGTTTCACATTCAAAGCTCAGATTTAGTGGAGGTGAAGAGAGGAGGTAAAGGTGAGGGAAGTCGTGAACAAGTGTAGAAGATGTGTGGCTCCAGAGACCAGGGGAAGAACTAGGTCAAGGTTCCGGGCCCTGAACATCATGGGAGTTGACTGAGCTCTGCAGTGGGGTGTTTTCATAAAGCATCCCTTACATTAGGCAACAGAAAATTCCCTCTTTGACCTTAACAATCTGATTTAATCTGGCTAGATTTTTATTAATACTAGAAATCTGTCTCTTCTCATTTGTTTCATTTGTTCATTGTCTTTTTAGTTCTCTTTCAAAAGTAAGTTTTTTAAAAAAAGAAAATTGAAGTCTAACCCTATCTCCTTAACCTCAGAGAAATGGGTTTTTTTTTTTTTTTCTGTAGAATTGTTTAGGATACGTAGGGAGACTGAGTACAGAAATAGAACCTGTTAAGGTAGGGGACATAAATATATGAAAATGAGCAACCAGGAGGGAAAGTGTATGGAATTTCTCTGCACCTGGAGAGTTTCCTTACAGATGAAACACACTTGGATATTAAAGTTGCTAGGTGAGAGTTGTTTCTCTGTAATGGTTCACTTTCCTTTCCTTCTCTATTATAGATTGAAGAGTGTGTGGTATGCTCTGACAAGAAAGCAGCTGTTCTTTTCCAACCTTGTGGACATATGTGTGCTTGTGAGAGTAAGTGTCTGTGAAAATTCCTCCACATTGGTAGAAAAATATGAAGTGAAGCAAAAATTATGTCTTTGAGGGCTTTTGTTTTTTTTTCTATTGTTGTTTTCAGATAACCCACAAACAGAAGAGTTGGTTGAGCCTCTAGTGCCTTCCATTTATTTCTACAACAATATCAACTATTTCCTTTGATGCTTCTGAGCACTGGAGAGCACTGGGATTTTTATATCAGTCATGCTAACCCAAAATGATCTCTTTTCACACACAATAGAAACTTTTTTCCAGAAACAAACATGGAAACCTTTGATGTAGCCTTTTTTTTGAAGCATATAAAAATCTGTTCATATTTATTTGTCTTCACCTCATCATTGCCTCTTCCATATACTTTCCCCACTCCTAAAAAACTCACAGCAACCATGTGGGCTACAATTTCTGGCCTTCCATTAACTGTTACATCGAGAGAACTTAAATTGTTCTTTCTGAGGATACTGTTGAAATTTAAGAGAGATTTTTAAATTTCTCCTAAACATACCTTCTTGAAGGCCTTTACTTTTTATATCTCGCTTGTTCAAGTCCTTACATTAATATTCTTTTCTTTGCATTTTTCATTTTATCAATAAAAGATTTAAACAAGTTTGACATCTTATACCTTATTTAAGGTAAACATGATATTTCATATTATAAAATAGTTCAGTCAACAGGTATTGATTTTTAATATGCTATCTGACTGGAATAATATACAGATTGTGTGCTGGTTTAATCTTATTGGCATAGATTTTCTTTAAACCTTAGTTTTTTGGTTTTTTTTTCCTCTTCCTATTCTGGTAGAAAGCTGGTCAAGTAAAGAAAGGGTCAAAGGTTTTTGCTATCCTTGAAGTAACTGTTTCTATTTACCCACAATTGTAATGGCTATCATCAACTGCCAAAAGGGCACAGAGAAGGAGAATTCTGACTTGAGTAAAAGGGATTTAGATTGCTTATATTTTCAAAAACTAGAGGTTGGTAAACTTTGCCTGAAGAAAGATCAAATAGTAAATATTTTTGATTTTGCAGGCCACCTGACTTCTGTATTTACCATTCAACTCTTTCCAACTGCTCAGCTCTGCCCTCTTAGTGTAAAAACAGCCAGGGAAAATATGTAACTATGTTCCAATAAAATTTTTTTTACAAAAAATTGACAACTAGTCATATTTGGTCTTTAGACCATAATTTGCTGACTCCAACCATAGACCAAAGCAATACCTACATGGAACTTTGAAGATGCTTGCAATTACTAGTTGGTAACAATCCCTTGAGCCTGAATGTAATATTTTCCCCAGGAGTCTCCAAAGTTTTTACATGGTATTTTATTTAAAATATTGCAAAGTAATGACTTTTATTGAATTTTTAACTCTGTACTAGACATTTATCTACTCTCATTTATCTTCAAGACAATCCTGAGAAGGAGATGTTTTTCTTCATTTCATAAACATTTGTTTTATTTTTCTGGTGCTTGGATTGAACACAGGGCCTCTCACCGGCTAGGTGAGCACTCTACCACTGAGCAGAATTGTGTGTTGGTATAACTTGTGCATGCTTATGTCAGTGCTATTAAGTTGTAGAAGTTAGCAGAGAAAGAAAGGCAGTACTTTTTTAAATTCATGTTGTCTTGTAAGAAGTGTGTGTGTTGCTGTTTTTCAGACTGTGCTAGCCTAATGAAAAAGTGTGTGCAGTGTCGGGCAGTCGTTGAACGAAGAGTGCCTTTCATTATGTGCTGTGGAGGGAAAAGTTCAGAAGAAGCCACTGATGATATCTGTAAGTGAATTTTCTGAAACCTTTTCTTATTTTGCTTTCTTGCTGGGACTTATATGGTATATTGCTCATTTATATAGCACAGAGATATGTGACTTCCATCAGCAGAGAACAAGAATGGTTTTCTGCTGCTTTTGTTACAGCTTATGTTGTGTTCTTTCTCTTCTTTTCTTTGTTTTGGTATTAGGGTTTGAACTTAGGGCCCGTGCTTGCTAGGCAAGTGCTCTAGGTTGAGCCATGTCCCCAGCCTTTTATGCTTTAGTTGTTTTTCAAATAAGGTCTTGTGTTTTTGCCCAGGGTAGCCTTGGACTGGGGTCCTCCTGCCTTTGCCTCCCAAGTGGGGTCACGGGTGTGTACCACCATGCCTGTTCCAAGAACGTTGTGTTCTTGCCTAAAGAATATTTGCTGTTTATTATTTTTAAGATGAAATTTAGTGTATCTTTTTTTCTTTTCATTTTTTTTCCCCTGGGGATCGAATCCAGGGTTCCGTGCATGCTAAGCATACACTCTACTACTGAGCTATACCCAGCCCAGTTTAGTGTATCTCAAGAGGACCATTATATGCCACATTAGTTTTTCCAATTTGTGAAAGTATTGAATTGGTTTCTTTATGTAGCAGTTTTATAAACTTATTTAAGTAGCTTATATTTTATAGGATAGTAGTTTTTTGGGACAGAGTAACAGGTAGAAAAATGAAGAATAATTTACCTTCAACCTTCCTTTTTTGCAGTGCTGGAGATCAGACCTGGGGCATTGCTCATGCTAGCCAAGCACACTACTACTGAGCTACATCCCTAGTCCCTACCTTCAATCTTTTTAATAGTATAGCTATTTAAAAATATTTTTGTCTTGGTCAGCCATGGTGGCATAAGCCAGTAGCCCTAGCTACTGGGGAGGATCATGATTCCAGGCTAGCCTAGGCAAAAAGATAGTGAGACCTCATCTGAACAAGCAAGCTGAGCATGGTGGTACATGTCTGTGATCCCAGCTGCTTGGGAAGCATGGGTAGAAGGATTGTGGTCCCAGACCTGCTTGGTCAAAAATGGAAGATCTACTGAAAAATAACCTAAAAGAAAAACAGGCTACTCTCAAGTAGAAGAGTACAAGTCCCGGAATTCAAACCCCAGTATGTCCAAAAAAATTTTTTTTGTTGTTTTTATACTAAATTTTGGCTATTGTTTTTTCTTTTTTGGTGGGACTAGAGTTTGAACTCAGGGCTTCACCCTTGCAAACCCTTGTGCTGCTTGAGCCACACCTCCAGCAGCTTTTTGGAGAAACCCCTCTAGGTGGTTTCTTCGATATCGTTGTTCTGTAAATTTTTTGTAAACAGATGAGAAGGGACATTATTGTACTCAACCTCTGTCCCAAGGCTTTGTCTTTTTCACAAATGCAGCAGAATAAAAATCCCAGGGTCAAAGGAAATGCAAATTAAAACCACGCTAAGATTCCACCTCACCCCTTTAGAATAGCCATCATCAGCAACACCAACAACAACAAGTGTTGGCGAGGATGCGGGGAAAAAAGGAACCCTCTTACACTGTTGGTGGGAATGTAGACTAGTACAACCACTCTGGAAAAAAATTTGGAAGCTACTTAAAAAGCTGGACATCGATCTACCATTTGATCCAGCAATACCACTCTTGGGGGATATACCCAAAAGACTGTGACACAGGTTACTCCAGAGGCACCTGCACACCCATGTTTATTGCGGCACTATTCACAATAGCCAAGTTATGGAAACAGCCAAGATGCCCCACCACTGACGAATGGATTAAGAAAATGTGGTATCTATACACAATGGAATTTTATGCAGCCATGAAGAAGAACGAAATATTATCATTCGCTGGTAAATGGATGGAATTGGAGAACATCATTCTGAGTGAGGTTAGCCTGGCCCAAAAGACCAAAAATCGTATGTTCTCCCTCATATGTGGACATTAGATCAAGGGCAAACACAACAATGGGATTGGACTTTGAGCACATGATAAAAGCAAGAGCACACAAGGGAGGGGTGAGGATAGGTAAGACACCTAAAAAACTAGCTAGCATTTGTTGCCCTTAACACAGAGAAACTAAAGCAGATACCTTTAAAGCAACTGAGGCCAATAGGAAAAGGGGACCAGGAACTAGAGAAAAGGTGAGATCAAAAAGAATTAACCTAGAAGGTAACATACACGTGCAGGAAATCAATGTGAGTCAATGCCCTGTATAGCTATCCTTATCTCACCCAGCAAAAACCCTTGTTCCTTCCTATTATAGCTTATACTCTCTCTACAACAAAATTAGAAATAAGGGCAAAATAGTTTCTGTTGGGCATTGAGAGGGTGGGGGGGAGAGGCAGGGGGCGGAGTGGGTGGTAAGGGAGGGGGTGGGGGCAAGGGGGAGAAATGACCCAAGCCTTGTATGCACATATGAATAATAAAAGAAAAAATAAATAAATAAAAAAAATAAAAATCCCAGGGTCAGACTAACTAGAATAAAAAAGGCCAAGAATGTAGAGGGTAGGAAACATGACATAAAAAATTTGCTCCCATTTTTGTAGACTGCTGATTATAGCCTTTCTTAAGTTCCTCATTTCCAGTCAGTAACAAGAATATTTGGGCATACCAGCAGGGAGGTCATGGCCCCAGGTCTCTTCATAAGTTGCCTTAGCTCTTAGCTTCTATGGGGCAACCTTTGTTTTTTTCAGAGGTTATATTTCAGGTTCAAAAAGACACATGGCAAAGGCCAGAAGAGTAACTGTACTGGTTTTTATCATCTGCAAAAATGTTAGTGTTCTGAAGATTCCAAATGTCTATATGTGAGTCTCTGATTTTATAATAAGAAACAATTTCATTAAAACATGATACTCTTTCATAAAATTGATAGGTTTTAAGAAAGGCTATCATTCATTTATTGGGTAAATCAAATAATGGAGTTCTCACCATATTTCATTGAATTAGTGCAAAATATACCAAACAAATAAATACAGTATACACAGCTCAGAAAGAAAGAAAGAAAAGAAAATTTGGGCATTAAAATCATCTAAAAGACTTCAGCTGCTAAACCTGTGTTCCTATGGTGTGGGAGCAGAGGAGATAAGCATAAAATGTGTTTGTGAGTTTGTCAAATGAAGTAGGGGAACCTTGGAAAAATCAGAAGTTTCAAAACTATAATTGGAAATTAGTATGCAAACCTATTTGTTTTTGAAGATTACAAATGAAAAAGTTGTAGTAGAAATGTCATTACTATATCTATAGTTGTGGTCTGAAAAAAATTTTTAAAGAGGACCCTAATAATAATCTTGTTTTTAATAAGCAAAATATAGCAGTCTCTTTAGAAGCAAAAAACCAATATGTCAATAACAGTAATAACTAAAAATTTTATCTGTGTTATAGCAAGTGGGAATATTCCAGTGTTACAAAAAGATAAGGATAACACCAATGTCAATGCAGATGTGCAAAAGCTGCAGCAGCAGTTACAGGACATTAAGGAGCAGGTAAGGATTCTGTCATATCAAACAATGATTCTCATAATGCACTTAATATTTTTCTGTAAAGCTAGTAGTGTTTTTTTCTATAATCATGGTGGATAGTAACAAATCTGTTATAGTTCTTGAATGTTTGCAGTGAGTAATAATCTGACTGGGAGATTTAGTTGGGTATTTTTAAAACTAGGAAACAAATGAGCAATAAACATGAAAAAAAATGCTCAACCACATTAGTGTCTGGGAAATAAAAGTTAAAACTACAATGAGGTGACTTTTCAAACCTGCCAGCTCAAGGAAAGTTTTCAGTACTATTAGGATGCAGTGTAAGGCAGAATATGTAGCAGCCATCACTCCTACGCTGCTGGTAAAAACACTAAAAAACTAAGCAGGACGTTGTAAATAAAATCATCTAGACAGAGTTTAACATCAAGGGTAGTGGTTTTCTTGACTGGGAAATGCTGGGAAGGGGGCACAAGGGAAGTTTCTAGAGCTAATTATGGGTTTGGTCAGGTTGTGAACTTTTATGATTTAGTACATTTCTATATAAATGTGATACTGTAATAGAATGGAAAATGTAGGGAAAAATACAAAATTCAGAATGGTATTTATGATGGTGAGAGGTGGACAGAAGGGATTGGTAAGGAACTTTTGGTGGCGGGGGCGGGGTGAGTTTCAGAAGTGAGAATAGCATTCCATACTGGGTATCAGTTATTTAACTGAAGCAACTGAAGCAACAAGATAAAAAGAAACTGGCTGAAACTTACAGGTATACAGTAAGTAAGGCAGTGAGTCTTGAGCCCTTTGTGATGGCACATGCCTAAAGTCCCAACCCTCAGGAGACAGAGGGAGGAGGCAGAGACAGGAGGATTATGTGTTCAGGTCAGCCTGGGATACATAGTGAAATCCTATTTAAACCAATAACAACAACAACAACAAACAAACAAGTCTTTTTTGGCTGTACCTTACCATTTGGCCTAGTGACTTAATTGATTGAAAGAACTGAGCAGCAAGAGTGTGGTTTCTGTGGTTGGCAGTCACCTTAGTATTGTCAGGCACTTGTTGGCGTCATCAAGTCTGAGTTTATAAGAAAGTAAGAACAGCTGGTGACCCAGGGTGACTAATGACTGCTATTACAACTCATTTAGAATTGAATGTATGTATTTATTAGACCTTTAAACTCCCATCTGAAGAGATGAAAGCCTTATGATTGGGCTGGTTTTTCTTTTGAAATCCAGCACCTAACAATTACTTGTTCTATAGGGAATAAGTATGTGTGGCTCAAGTGGTAGAGTGCCTGCATGGGAAGCATAAGGCCCTGAGTTCAAACTCCAATACCACCAAAGCAGTTTCAGTGGTGACTAAGGAGAGACAGATCAGGATTTAAAGGTTCTTAATGTAGATGGAAGCATAGCTGGCTTGTTTTAATAAAAGGTAAAGTGTTTTAAAATTTTTAAAGCTCCTTAGTCTCAGTTCATTTCCCACGAGGCACTTAAAAAAGATGAAGCTGAGTTTTTAACATGTCTTCTATGAAAAGCATTTTATCTTCTGTGTCTGGCTTTGACAAGTATCACACATTTTCTCTCATCTGGATTCTAAAAAGAGAAGGAAAGAGAGACACATGAAAGCAGAATGGTGTCTGTTAGGGAAGAAGTGGGGAGGGGGAGATAACTATATCGATGGGGTGATAAATGCAATCAAAGCATCTTATATACCCGTTATGAATACGTCAGGACAACCCCCACTAATCCACTATTTTATGCAGTTAGTATGCATTAACAAAAAATGTAATGACATCTTTTAAAAAAAGCATTTGGGGGCTGGAGGAATTGCTCAAGTGGCTCCTGGCCTCAGATTGTCCTTAGGATGAGACTGACTGAAGTTTTACTTGGGATCCTAAAAGAATAACTCAGCTGTATTTATATTCAAAGTTTAGCATTTCAAAGAAGTTTATTCTTCCTTAAAACCCAGCATCATCACCAGCCACCAGTGGCTCACGCCTGTAGTCCTAGCTACTCGGAAGGCTGAGTTGGTAGGATTATGGTTTGAGGCCAGCCCAAGCAAATAGTTCAGAAGACCCCATCTCCAAAACAACCAGAGCAAAGTGAACTGGAGGGGTGGCTCAAGTGGTAGAGTGCCTGCTTTGCAAGTACGAATCCCTGAGTTCAAACCCCATTCCTGCTGAAAAGCAACAATGACAAAAATCCCCACATTGTTGAGCTATTCATTGGTAGAACACTTGCCTAGCATGGAGCAAGGCAAGAAACTAACCAACCAACAAACAAAATCCATGCTACTGTAGTTCATTGCTGAAGTATTTAAGCAGTTATAACAAAACTCCTTTTCTGAAGAATGAGTGGGATTTTTTGTAGGGACTTCCTTCAGGATTACCAAAACTGGAGAAAACATCTGAGTAACTCTCTTCACTTAAATTCCCAAACTATCATCCCTGTTTAAGAGACAGTCTCACTTGCTATTAAGGACACATGATCTTTAGGTAACAATGGCACAGGCTGCACAGATGTACTTACTTTTGGAAAAAAGAGTTATTAATTATATTGAGCTCTTCAAAATTTAATGGAAATAAAACTTTTAATGACACTAAAATGGTGGCTTGGCTTTTTAAAAAAAATCCAAAATTATGTAATTTTCTACAGCTTTGCTTCTTAAAACTTTAAGATAGGCAAATGTGACAGTTTGCCTTGGAAGGGACAGCTAACAACTTAGACTACAAATTCCTTTTTTTAAACAATTATCTCTGGTATTATAAATGTTAGTGGTTACATTTCATACAGCCTCCAGGCCTAGGTTTTTGTTTTTTTTTTAATGTTTTGTTTTTTGATTTTTTGAGACACAGTCTCACTATGTAGCCCAGGCTGGCATCAAACTCCTGTCTCAGCCTCTCAAGTGCTAGGATTACAAGAGTACACCACCATGCCCAGTTTAGGCCTACTTTATTAATCTAGACATTCTCATTTATTTTATTTCTATGTTATTTGAGAAAGATATAATTCAGAGTGAAATATTATATTAGGTAAAATGTTTTTATATATACAAAGTGTGTTTAGTGAGTAAATATGACTTCCTAGAGTGTTTTCACAAAAGTACAACTAACATACTTATAAATTCTTTGAGTTCATGAAATTTACACATTAATACGTAACTAGGGCTAAATGTTTTTAGCTCCAAGGATCTGCAGTGACGGTTGAGCAGTGCAGCCCAGTGTTCAAAAACCATAGGACCTAAGTTGACATTCTGGCTTGCTTCCTTGTGCTTGCTAGGCAACTTGAGCCAGGCCCTCAGCCCTTTTTGGCTTTTGTTATTTTTCCAATAGGGTGTTAGGTTTTTGCTAAAGGCTGGCCTTGGTCAGCCATCCTCCTACCTATGCCTCCTGCATTGCTGGGATTACAGAGATGAGCCACCATGCTCAGCATTTTTGTTGAGATGGGATTTTGCTAATTTTTGCCTGAAAGTTCAGAAAGTCTTGAATGGTAATCCTCCTCCTTTGCCTCTTGAGTGGCTGGGATTATAGCTGTGAGCCACTGTGCCTGGACCCAATTTCCTCATTTTTACAGTGGAAGTAATAAAAGGATTGAGGTTGTGTCATATCTAGCCATAGTGCCTCGTACATCTTTATGATGCCCAGTACATCTGATGCCTGTTGTGGTTCTTGTGCAATAGCAGCTATGCATCTAGAGCTGAGAAATCTGAGTCAGACTGAGCGGGGCTGTTTTCATCCATTTCCCACTCTTGTTTCTTGTTTGCATCTTTGTTTTATATAGTATTTATTTTATGTTGTATTTGTTATACAATCCTGAAAGAGCAACCAATATCCATTTTATAGGCATGATATTTTAATTATTTAAAAATTTTAAGATTAAGAGTATTTGGCTAAAATGACCAAAAAAAATTAATGATATAACAGAGTTGTCACATTACACTTTGAAAATATAAAATGTCTCGCTTTTACTGTTTTGTTATTTGCATTATAGACAATGTGCCCTGTGTGTTTGGATCGCCTAAAGAACATGATTTTCCTCTGTGGCCATGGAACATGCCAGCTCTGTGGAGACCGCATGAGTGAATGCCCCATTTGTCGCAAGGCAATCGAACGGAGAATTCTTTTGTATTGACTGAGAAACAGAGTGTTTTGTTAGCTGAAGTATATGGTGATGAGGTCTTCATAAGCTTTTAAGCCTGTTCAAGGTTCTGATGAATTAAAATTTGTAATTTTGTAGTTTCTTTACTGGAGTGTAATTACATTGTAAATGTACTAGAGCGAAAGAAAAAACCATACAGTGTTTAAAATCATAAAGTTATAAATTTTCTTTTTCTTCCTTTTTTTGCTTGGGAATGTCAGATCCATGGTAACTCATAGGTAATTTACTTTTGGCTTCTAGGGGGAAAGTCCTTTAAAGATCTCCTTTTATTTTCGTTTTTATTGCATTTTCTCTCATAATTTATAAATTTGTTAAACCTCAAAAGACATACTTCCAGGTGATCAATTATCCTTCAGTTTTTCATGATTTTATACAGTGAAGTGACACAGGGGCAAGTCAAACTATTGTGTCACGTGTGTTAAATGATAAAATTACACAGATTCCACAAGTTAAGGAAGTATTGAAGGGAAGATTCTATGTTTAAGATAACAGAAAGTTACCCAAATGCTTGTTTCTGAATTCTTAGCTAAATGGAAGCATAAACTAAGAGAATAATAGCTTTGCATTTAGTTTGTTTTAAGATTTAAAAGGAAAATTGTTTAACTTAATTTATCAGTTTCAGATGACTGATAGGAATGTAAAGGAAAAACTAGTGAGAAACAAGGTGATAGAGGGGAGATAAAAGTTAGCTTAGCATTCGCAGTTGCATTTCTTATATTAAGTTGTACACTGTTTAGTGCAGCCAGCCTTTTAAAAAGATCTTCATCTTCCTGTGATGACTTACCTGGGATTGATCTAATCAGTGCAAAGATTTGGCCCTATTTGGGCCACTAAGGTTCTACTCTGCTAGGATGATGCTTTGTCCAAAGGCAGCAGTCTTGTCTTCTCGGTACTAATGAGTCTGACAGTGTTACCAATTCTACCTTCATCAAAGGCCTTACCTCTGTTCTCTCTCAGATAGTAGCTCTTACTAGAAAGAATAGTCTTTCTTTATACCTACAAATGAAGATTATTTAAACTGCCAACAATATCCGAGATGCAGTAATAACCTAATAATACAGAAAAAAGTTCCAGGACATTTGTAGAAGAATGTCTTTAGATTTTTTGGGAGGATATGGGAATCACACTTTGTCTCTAGAGCATCTAATCATTTTCTCTCCTTTGAGTAATCTTTTGCATATTGGTTAAATGTACACATAAGTGGGATTTCTTGCTGCTTGGTTTATGAGAAACGTCAGCTGATTATAGCACTGTCTACATGTACTGTGTAAAAGCTTACTTTTAAGCATGGTGATCTTTTTTGTAGCTTCTCCCCCTTGAAATCTGGCTAGCTTTTCTTGTTTCGGTTTTTCTGCTGTAACAGCTAAATGTGAAAGTAGGAAGTATCTCGCCCTCATACTGTGTGGCTGGATGTTTATGTGCTACTGCCTTTGCCAGGCCTGGTAAAAGTGGTGAGCTTTACTGGCTGCTTTTGTAGTAAGCAATTTCATGATGAGATGAGATGAGTAACTTTTATCACCTTAACTTTATAAATTTGAAATTTGTAACTTTATTTTGTGATTCTAGTTATCTACTAGGGGCCACTGAGGCTATTTTTAAAGTATATTTTGAAGTTAAAGATAGAACATCTGACCAATGCTGTTTACATAAAGAGATAGACTGTCTTCTTGCAAATTTGAAAACAGAAGTCAGAATTTTCTTTTCCTTCCAATCCTGTAAGCCACCTGTCCCTTTCTACTCTAGTAACTGGTGAAGAGGGAGCACCTGGTTGACTAGCGTGGTTTGGCCAATCCAGGAACCTTGTGGACTAACAGCTGTATTTCACTTAAATCCTTTTAATTTGTCTTCTGAGCTACAGTGCTAAAACTTACATCCCTCAAAGGCAATATCATTTTCCAGACTAGTTTAATTGTTTTCTCCCCATTAAAAATATAACTTACTATTACAGAAGTTGTGTAGTCTCTAATTTTAGTATTAAGTGCTTGAGGGTTTTCTCTATTTGTCTCACTTTGAAACTTGTTTGGTGAATAGAAAATGCTCCTCTTCATGTGTTCAAGCACCTAAAATTATTTTAAATTTGTTTTTGGTTTGTGAGAGAGAATATGATTAAGAACTTAAGTGACTTTCCTTCAACTCTCTGAAACTGCTACCTCTTATTACATGTCTCTTTGCAGTACTTTGCAAAATGGGTATATTTCCTCTTCATAATCTAAACCTCTTTATCCTGTGCCTCAATAGAGATCTTTCTTTTCCTAGAATAATTTTTTTTAAAAAATTACATGCATTCATTAAAACGTGTTTGTTGGACTTCAGGGCTAGATACACAATATTGGGAAAAGAAAGGTCAGCCTCTCTTTTTCAGTATTCCATTGAAAAAAAAGGTCAGCCTTTCTTTTTCAATATTTCAATAGATATACAACTGCCACACAAATTCTGCACACTCAGAATTTTTGTGTGGCAGTTGTATATTTGAAGTCATCTGTGGACAGGAAAAGGGATCCAAAGGTACTGGTAACATTTCTTCCTAATGTTTCAGAAAGATTGCATTCCCTCTCTGTACTGCCTACCCGATCACATTTTTTCTCGTATTCTTCATCTGTCATCTTTGTAACTCTGAGCACACAACTTATCAGATGGTGCTATCCTCACATGATTTAACATTCTTGCTTGTACTATATACATAATTAAGGGTTTCAAGAGAAGGTAATTTTGTATTAGTGTAAGAATATTATATTAGACAAGGGTTTAGATTAGCTGGCTGAGTTGTGCTTAAGGTAATTGTAATTTTAAATTTTACAAATTAACCAACTAGCTACCAAAGCATAAAATTAATTGATAATATTAGAAATAACTTTCTTAAATTTTAATTTTGGATAGCTATAGCCTGTCAGAGCTTTTTTGAATATTGAAATACATGCTGCTTATTTTGTTCAGTTCAAATTTCAAAGCTTGCTGGGTCATTTTTACACACCAGAAACATCCTGTGTAGTTATGTGTTGCCCGGTGGATGTTCCTTGTTTATTCTGAGTTTTGGATGCTTTTTGGACTAGAAGTTAGTAAAACTTATTAACTAAGAGAATTAGGGATGGGCTAGGATAGAGTCAGGACATTGGTGTTGCAACAAATAGGAAACAGAAAAGCAAGTGTTTGAAAATAGAGGAAGAAAGGGTAATGTAGAGTGCATCAGCACATTAGTGGGAAGAGTGTTTAAATTTAGTAATAAAAGGGGTCTGTTAAGTCAGATCTTAGTATAATTTAATTGACAGTATTCTAAATTACAGATTTTAATACAGCTTGCTTTTTTTTCAATCCAAAAGGAAAATCACTTATCCTCTTAGAGTGTCTGAAATGTTTTATAGTAATAATTTATGTAAAAATTGAATTTTGGAATAGACTTTTTTTGCATTTTTCTTGTGGTAAAAAAATAAACATAAAATGTGCTCTCAACTATTTGTAAGTACACTTCTGTAGTTAAGTTGTGTCAAGTACATTCACTTTGTTGTAGAACAGGTCTCTAGAACTTTTATCTTGCAAACTGAAACTTTGTATCCACTAAAGAACTCCCTTTTTCTTCCTTCTTTTGTGGAATAGAATTTTGGCCATATATAAATCAAACACTTGAATTACTTAGAAGAAGTTCCTTTGTGCGTATAAGATCTAAAGTCATGGTAAAGGTCAAGTTGCTAAAATTTAGAAGAGTGGCAGCACTTCTCCCTCTCCCTAAATTGTTAGTAATAATTGGGAGGGTTTTTTCTTTTTATTAGCATACATTAATTGTGCAAAGGGGTTTCACGGTGATAGTTCCGTACATGAATAGAATATACTTTGATTTGGGTTGGATTTACATGTCTGTTAGTTGGAAAAGTTTATATTTCATTTTGAGTCAAAGGGGAGAAACATTTTAAATATCAGAATTAGGTTAGCTTTGAATTTGTACTTAATTGGGAAGGTAATAGATTTTCACAAATTCTATGTGCCTTGTAGCTAAAAATGTCAATTGTCTTTAACTCTACTTGTCAAAATTTTAGAATATGTTTTTCTCTCAAAATGGCAACCTACCTTAACTTGCTTGAATATTATGATAGGAATGCTAACTCATTACTTGATAGTCATATATACATATATACATATATATATAAATATATATATATATATATATATGTACACACACACAACAATAGCAGTATTAGTAATTACAGTTGTACTTCTCTAAAACATTAAATTTGAGGAAACTGTTTAGTGTCGTCTCATCCATGTTACTTTACTACAGTGAAGGGGAAATTCTTTAGACTGAGCATCAGTGTAATGGTAAAAGGCTAGTAGTGGGTGAAACGATGTGTAAAATACAGGCTAGATAGTGGAGCTGATGATGTAAAGTTGTAAGTTGCTACATTGGCATTTTCTACCTCCTTTTCTGTCAGAGTATTACTTTTTCCAGCATTATTATATTTTGTGGGTGAAGTGGAAATGGGAAGCGGGGATTAAAATTGAGATTTTTTTTGTTTTTTGAGAATTTAAGCAATAGGTACAGGAAATGTGACTCGTCACATTAATTTAGTGCCTAAATCTATAAGTTATAATTGACATGTACAAAATGTCTAAGAAAGATGATATTGCTGAATATTTTTTCCTGCATCGTTCTCTTGATTTTTATTTCATAAAATGACTTCTTCCAAAAAGCAAAATGGTCTTGTCATCTTTTCTAAAATAAGCTAACATGCCATTTTGTCTGAGATCCATAACTTCAAGAAGCTATTGAAAGTTCTGACTCAGGGCTTTTTAACAGTTTAAGCAATTGTTAAGTATATTTTAGAAACTCCATCCACATAATTCTTCAGTGCCTTGAAAGAATTAACTTGGCAGCACTATTAAAACTTCATAGAAGGTGGTCTTTAGTGTCAATGTGGTCTTATAGACTCACATCTAAGTCATATTGCTAAGCTCCTGTAATAGCAATACTGTACATGTGCTGGGTTTGCGTAATTTTTAAAGGAAGTTTTCTAGATTTGCACTTGATACTTGCTTTTAAAATAAGTGATTAT